GCTTTAAAATGATTTTGTCTTTTCCAATTTTTTTGGATGGCTTTATTATCATTAGATGAACAATGTTAAAAACGAAAAAAATGATTTGAGTTTATAATGGCTAAGATCTTGAAATTAACAAAATGAATGGTCTAACTTTGTTTTTGGAAAGGACTTATTTTGACCCTATTTAGGGTTCAAATTGAACTTTTTTTTTTGGGGGGAATTGATTATTGAGATGAAGAGAGTGTGTGTGCAAAATTTGGGGTTATACAAATACTACAAACATGGTTTTTTAGAAGTGTCATTCCATTATACTATAATATAATACAACCGTTGCATTGGATCATTGCTTTTATATATAAATAGGAAAATGATTTGATGAGTCATCTCGCCTACAGAAAAAGAGTGAGCCGAACGGCTCTTATTTGTTCTTGAAATTGAACCGCTGTGGTTTCATGAGGCAGCGACAACTAATAACTGTGCGCACTGACACGCTCTCTCTAGCATGCGCACGGGATCTCTCCCTGTACCTAAACTCTTGCCTCGGTGAAACCATCTCTCTCTACCTAAACTCTGGCATCCCCCTCTCTCTCCCCCGTGAGCTGCTCCCACCCTCTCCAAATCCTGTGAGCCTCCTCCCATTGTCTCTCTCTGGTGAGCCTCCTCGCCTCTCTCTCTACTGTGAGCCTCATCCCTCTCTCTCTCTCTCCTCTCTCTTTCTCTCTCTCTCTGTCTCCCGAGAACAACAATCGGCCTCCTCGCTCAGCAACCCTTCAGCAACCCTAATTCCCCACCCTAGATTCTGTGGACTCTGGAATCTCTCTCATTGGAAGCCGCCTCCATTCTCAGCAACTCTAAATAAAAATTAGTGGTTTCAATCAACCATTCACAGCAAGGTACGAATTCAATTTACTTTTGGCATGGTTTCATGGAGTTCTTCTTGAATATTTTTAAGTGCATTTTTTCAGAGCTATTTCACTGTATATCATCTATGTGTTTCATCTCTGCATATTATTAATCCGCCAACTCCTAAATCTATGGACTTTTATGATTTTACATCAAAATGGATTATGCAAATCGTACAAAATTGCATCTCGAACATGGCAATTTGGAGATATTCACAGATGCAGTAATTTTTTATTTGAATATTGGGGATTTAGGTTTACATTTTTGTGCATATAATTATGTCTTTGTCTTGTACATCTACTATGGATTTTTTGCCCATATTTCTTCACCATTGTCACTCTGCAAACGATTCCAGTATTTGCTTTGCTTTGCCATCACCATTGTCACTCTTCAAAATCTCCATCTTGATTTGTATTCTCTATCTCTCTCATCTTTGTTGAATCCGAATTTTTATAAAAAGAGGCTCAAATCTGTGGCAAAAACAACTCCAAATACCAAAGTAATATGGTTATAAATTTAAATTTTTATTTTATCTATATTGTGCTTATTTCCTTTACGTGACAATTTGGGGAAAGTGTTTATTTTCTCTGCCTGCATATTTTAATGTTTGGTTATGTGAAGTCCTAATTTGGAGATTTTTTTTTTAAAAAAAATTGTTGAATGACATCCATTGATGTTGCTCTGTTAAATGATTGATTTTTTGGTTTAAAATTGTCGAGTGGCATCCATTAATGTTGCTTTGTTAAGTGATGGATTTTTTTTCATTAGGTTTGTTTACTTTCAATCATCAAGCATTGTGGTTTGTTTATGGTTCAAACAAGGTGGAATTGATGTTGCTCTGTGAAGTCCTAATTTGGAGATTTTTTGTTTTAAAATTGTCGAGTGGCATCCATTGATGTTGCTCTGTTAAGTGATTGATTTTTTTCATGAGGTTTGTTTACTTTCAATCATCAAGCATTTTTGGTTTGTTAATGGTTCAAACAGGGATTGAACCTGCAAGAGAATAGAAATGGAAATTGTAAAATCATTTTTTAAAAAATATGTGAAGTGTTGAAGTCATTAATTGACAAAGATTTCGTGATTTGTGTAGGGTAAGTTTTGCACCTGAGATGGACCTCACCATTTCAACAAGTGTGGCATCTCCCACATTTTCAGAAAATGACAACATGGGGGATATTGTAGAGTCCATGGAGCAAGATCCCTTGCTAGAAACCCCTCCTCACAATAAGTCCACAAATCTTAAAAACGGGGAACATGCGTTGTCGTCCAAGGGGTCTGAAATAGAGGAACCCCGTGTAGGAATGAAATTCAGTGATGAAAATGATGCATATGAATTTTACAAGGCTTTTGCATTGGGGGAAGGGTTTGGTGCAGAAAGAGAAGTACTCACACGAATAAGGACGGAAAGAGAATTGATAGGAAATATAAATATTCTAAAGAAGGATTCCGTACGGTGAAAGAAGTACAACTTAGAAAATTTTTCCTTGAGACAAGGTGTGGATGTGATTTGAAGATGTGCATAAGCATAAATGCCAACAATGAGTGGGTTGTCACAAAGTTTGTTAAGGATCATAATCACTTACTTGTATCTCCACATAAAGCTCGACTCATCCAATCACACCGAACAATATCGGATGCGATAAATACAATGATAAACTCCATGAGCTCTGCTTTGGTAAAATATCGGAATATCTATGATATCTTTTTAGAGCAGGCTGGTGGGATTGATAATCTCCCTTGCTCACAAAAAGACATCGAAAAGCAATTAGGAATCAACCAAATAAAATTTAAAGGGGAAGATGGCAATCGTGCGATGGAATGGTTAATCGATATGAAGAGATCCAATCCATCTTTTTTTAATAAAGTGAAATTAGATGAAGAAGATTACATATTCAGCCTACTATGAGTAGATGCCATGTCAAGGGTGTTCTACCATTACTTCTCGGATGTGGTCACCTTTGATACCACATATAAGAAAAATGCTTTTGGCATGCCCTTTGCTCCCATACTTGTAATGAATCACCACCTTAGCACAACATTTTTTGGGTTTGCCCTTATCTTTGATGAGAAAGTGGAGTCTTTTGTATGGGTATTTGAAAATTGGCTAGAGGCAATGGGTGGACGTCAATTCGGAGTAAGTATCACCGATTAGGATCCTGCAATGACCGCTGCAGTGAGACAAGTATTGAATAAAAGCAAACATCATTATTGTAAGTGGCACATACTTTCAAAGGTCAAAGAAAAATTGTGTCATGTCTTGGAAAGGAGTCCGTCTTTCCCTGATTTATTCAGAAACTGTATAATGAGCCAAACTGAGGAACACTTTGAGTGAGGATGGAAATCTCTTATTGAGAAATTTGATCTTCAACAGAATGAATGACTCAATAGATTGTTCAGATGTCGAAAGCAATGGATTGATGCATACATTGCAGATGCATTCATAGTAGGTATGTCATCGAATCAGAAAAGCGAAGAAATGAATAAGCACTTCAAAATGTATGTGACTTCCACTACATGCTTGCGCACATTGTTGGAAACTACTATAAAAGTGCATGATAAAAAACTTCTTAAGATGAGAGAAAATGACTTAAAGAACATGACATCAAAGCCTTTTCTGAGGACCACGTGTGACATCGAGGCTCACGCTTCAAAGATATATACACACAAAGTAATGAAGTTGTTTGGAGAAGTTGTTGCAGAAGACATCAATTACATGAGTGAAATTATTGAAGACAATGACAGTTGCAATATTTAAGGTATCAAAACGTGAAAGTGGAACAAGGGTCTGCAATGTAGAGTTCAATCGTCACAACCAAACTTTGGTTTGTACTTGCCACATGTATGAGAGACTGGGCATTATTTGTAGGCAAGGGATTAGGGTCTTAATGGTGAATAATATTTTTGAAATCCCATCGCATTACTTAATGAAGAGGTGGACAAAAGATGTGATGATAGGTGTTGTACTTGTTGCCAATGGGAAACAAATTCAAGGTACCTCTGATCTACCCCGTTCAATTCGTTTTAATGAGGTTTGTCAAGTCACTAGAGAACTAGCAGAGCATACTTCAAAAAGTGTAGTACTCCATGCATTTATAGTGTCTGAACTATTAAGTACACTTTCAAAGGTTAAGGCCAAGATTGGGGGTGTGGTATTACCAGATGGTGATTTTAAGACCCCTTGCAGCAGTCATAATGAGAATATGATTGCAGACAGTAGCAACAGAGCTGAGGTCGAGGGACATGCATGCTATAACATCCTTGAGCCCCCTCGGGCACGAACAAAGGGGAGGCCTACCAATGATAGATATGTATCTCGGGCTGAGATAGAGGCAGAGAAAGCGAAAGCGTAAGTGAAGGAAGTTACCCGAACGTGCGCAGTTTGCAAAGGGAGTGGACATGATAAAAGGAATTGTCCATCTCTCGGACGTTCAAAGTATGAATGAACTATTGCTCCATTTCTCGTACTCTATGTGATTTTAATATCAATTCTTTAAATATAAATATTTGAAATGGGTTTTCTTCATTTAGGTTAAATGTAAATATCAGATGCACTGATGGGTCATGTGAGAATGTGGAACATGCCGAGTAATGGTAATAATCTTTAGAGATTTGCATTATATTCAGTAAAATAGTATTTTTTTCATTGAATTTGCATGGTAAGAAATTCATTTGCATTGAAATTCTAATACTTGTGTGGTTGTTGATAATGTAGGTAAAAATTATTTCTTATGGTTATGTGGATGCAACGGCTGCTGTTCTTTTGAGTCAAAAGTTGACAGGTAAATAATATTTCTTATCGTGTAGTTTATTCATAAATTTACCTTATTTAAGCATCGTGGTACTTCTATCCATGGTTGTATTACTTACTGATGGTCTTACAGTTGCAAACACCGATTGATGGAGGACTTCACATTTCACTTGATGTTTCCAAGCCAGAAAACAATGCCGCACTACCTTCGGTCGATGAATTTACCTTGTTTCATGGTTAATTATTTGTAAACTTAATACTACGCCTTTTGGAGGGTATTCCTTTTTCTCTTATGGGACCATTTATCTTTTACTTTTTGTGGTGTGTTCATTGTTTGTATTGATTTGTTATGATGGGGCTGTCTCGTTATCTTGGGATAGTGCCTGATTGGGTTTGGAATTTATGACAGGTTTTGTATGATATATGGCTTGAAAAACCAAAAATATGGCAGAAGTGCTCAATTGGGTGGAATTTATGACAGGTTTTGTATGATATATGGCTTGAAAAACCAAAAATATGGCAGAAGTGCCCAATTGGGTTTGGAATTTATGATAGGTTTTGTATGATATATGGCTTGAAAAACCAAAAATATGCTCAATTGGGTTTGGAATTTATGTCAAGTTTTATATGATATATGGCTTGAAAAACCAAAAAAATAGCAACCGTGCCCAATTGGGTTTGGGATTTACGATAGGTTTTTCACAGAGGCATTCTTTTTACATGTGGGTACCTAGCATGTTATTCACATAGGCATTCTTTTACCAGGGGCATTCTTTTAACATGGGAGCACCCTAGCATGTCGCTCACATGTTTATTATGGTAATTTTGCAAAAAATCCTACTAAAGGGATATACATTTTTCGATTTGTTTCAATTCTCAAATTAACACTTCTAGACCAGCTCTAAGTCAAATAAGCGGCCACATGACAATATCTATTTTAAAATCTATTGTCCATATGTCACTCCCTATAATTCATTTCACCAGCATGAGCTTGCACTATAATGAAATAAAAGCGTCTCAATGAAATAGAAGGCCTCAATGAAGCGTTCAATGAAATAGAAGCGTCTCAATGAAGCCCTCAATAAAATATAAGCCCTCAATGAAGATCTAAATGAAATAGAAACCCTCAATGAAGAAGAAGGCCTTAATGAAGAAGCCCTCAATGAAGAAGAAGCCCTTAATGAAGAAGCCCTCAATGAAGATCTCAATGAAATAGAAGCCCTCAATGAAGATCTCAATGAAATGGAAGCACTCAATGAAATAGAAGAGTCTCAATGAAGCCCTCAATGAAGCATCTCAATGAAGCCCTCAATGAAGCGTTTCAATGAAGGCTGAAGTATATAAGACTATATAGAAAATTTACAACACAATTTTGAATAGCAATGACTGAAAAGACATTGAAGAGCAATGACTCAAAAAGACAGCTCCCTTGCAACAGTAAGAAAGGATGGCATGCTTTCACATGGCTGAATTTCAGCTTTTATAGCACATTTTGTTTTATAGCCCTCAATAAATGGCACAATCGCACTGGCCATAGTTCAAATGATCAACCCACCCATTTAAATAAATTATAGATGCTTGAACTCTCGATCGCTATCAATGCACAATAAAAAATCAATACATAATGTCATTGAGATAATATCCTTGAATTGGAATTGCATGGCAAATAATATATGTTTACATTACCAAAAGCCCTTTTGTTACTTTTAACTACAACATTTTTCATAAAGAGAGAATAAGTTGAATTCTACGATGGGAATAATTACATTAGTAAAAAGGCAACCCTTAGTAAAAAAGCAATTCCAAGTCAGAAAGTATCACATGTCTTTGATCAGAACTACAAAAATAAAAAAGATGAGTGCAAGCAAGCACACATTTATTATACACAAAATATACAAAAATTGTTGTAAACACCCAAAAGCACCGAGTAAGAATTGATGCATGCGCTCTATGGTAACGAGTATCATATTATTGCCGACACTTGTTTCTTGATTGAGCATGACACCTTCTTCTGATTCTTGCATTGGATTCCACTGTCGTGTATTGCATCGTCTTAAATTGAAATTTTCCATGTTGGTATTATATTCATCACACCATTGGAAGAACCCACATATAGAACATTTATAGTACATTCTGTTCGGTTTATTTTGGCTTGCCGATGGTTTCTTAGCACAATCTATACTGCACTTTGGGCATTGTCGAGTTGTATATCCTCGATTACTTGTAGAATCAGATGACATTGTTAGGGCCTACAATAATCGTATCAGTACCACATTATAAATGACTAAATAAGTACGTATTTCAAGCACATCATAATATTCATTGCAAATATGTCCATAATAATTTTAGCAATAACCACAACAACAACAACAACCATCACCACCTCTATGATGAGACCCAAAACACTCCACAGAGCAACATCAATTCCACCCTATTTGAACCATTAACAACCAAAATGCTTGATGATTGAAAGTAAACAAACCTAATAAAAAAAATCAATCACTTAACAGAGCAACATCAATGGATGCCATTCGACAATTTCGGTAAAACAATTCTCCAAATTAGGACTTCACAGAGCAACATGAATTCCACCCTGTTTGAACCAGTAACAAACCAAAATGCTTGATGATTGAAAGTAAACAAACCTTATGACAAAAAATCAATCACTTAACAGAGCAACATCAATGGATGTCACTCGACAGTTTTAAGACAAAAAATCTCTAAATTAGGACTTCACAGAGTAACATGAATTCTACCATGTTTAAACCAGTAACAAACCAAAATGTTTGATGATTGAAAGTAAACAAACCTAATGAAAAAAAATCAATCACTTAACATAGCAACATCAATGGATGCCACTCGACAATTTTAAACCAAAAAATCTCCAAATTAGGACTTCACAGAGCAACATGAATTCCACCCTGTTTGAACCATTAACAAACCAAAATGCTTGATGATTGAAAGTATACAAACCAACTG